GGTTTTACAGTTTAAATATTAAATTTTTATTTGTTTTATATTTGTTTTGTATTTAAACTTTAAACTTATGAAACAAATAAAAATTTAATTTTTCTTCTTAACCTATTCAATACTTTTTCTTATGTAAAGTTTAAACTTTATATTATACGTTATGTTATACTTATAATATGTATTGATGAAAGGAATAATTTGATTAGTAAAATTTTTTTAATATTCAATTTGTCATGTAATAAATAATAAATATATAACAGAAATTTATTAGTTTTTATTACTAGCATTGTACGTAACATTCTAACAAAAATACCAAAATGTAAAATTGGCCAATTATCGAAACCGATTAATCGGCCAAGTGGCCGATAAGGCCAATTACCGATTACTTACCGATTAATCGGTGTATCCTTACTCTTAAATAGTGTAGAATAAACTTAAATGTTTCTGGTGCACAACAATCATGATCTAATAATTCACTACACTATGATCTCCATAGGACAGGCTTGGATTACACAGCAAATTTTGTAAATGTTCTTCCAATTGTCCTTGAACTTCCTTAAATGGTTTTTATGACTCCAAAGACTTTTCAAAGTAATAAGGGAAGATCCAGGATCAGTTTGAACCGATGCTCGTTTGGGATAATGAACCAAACTGTACACAGTCATCAGTCTGTACAGGTATAAGAACTGTACTGTTATGGGATGAGAATTTCTTCCACTTCCTTCTCTTATCATTCCAAAGAAACACTAATTGAAAAGGAAACATAAGTTAAGACTTTAATACAAGATTATACAATCATTACACTAAGTCAGTTTTACCTCTAATGGGTCCTGATTAAAGTGAGCTGTCAAGATGTAATATGAGTTTGGAAGCAATTGTTTGATGAGTGCTAAGATACTAGTCAGCATCAAGCATAGATTTTCTGGCTCAAAAATTTCTTTTTATNATTTTCATCGGGAAAACATTTCAAAGTGTCGTTTCAATTCTATTTATTTATTGCTCCTTCCTCTCTTCCTTGGCGTGTTGTGAAATTTCTGATAGTCGGATAATAAACCGTTTCATTGTAATTTGTCTTTTTAAACTATTTTGACTCGATATTAAAATTTGGAAAAGGGGAATACCTAGATCGATAAAATAGGCGAATTGTTCGGGGTACAGTTAAGGTTTTAACGAAGTTCGAGCGAATACATAATTAGCAAAAAAAGTTGAAATAAAGTGATTAAACAAAAATTTATTACAAATATCGTAAATAACAGTTCACAAATGCATATATATATAGATATTTTTTGGAGGGGGAAATGGTCTTCACAATTTGAAATCGATCGAACACACCAAGGTCTATATAAGAAGGTCAGGACACGCGTGACCTACTTATTAAGCCGCCATTTTGGGGTTTTTTGAGTCGCATGTTTTAAGCAAACTTGCACGAATATTCAGTTTTATACGACATTAATTAAACTAAAATTGCATAAATCCAGTGATTTCCAGTCAAAAATATAATAATAATTTTGGATGATTACCCAACCCCAATTTTATGTAACGTTTTCATCAAATAGTTTAAAAGAAACAATCACCCATATCATTCGCTGTCGTGATTGAAATTAATTAAATAGGTACTAAAACTGATGCAATTAAGTATATACGCACTTCGTAAAGTGATGCAATAACATCAAAAAAAAATTTTAAGTATACAGTAATAAAGAATATAATAATATAATATAACAAATTTATAGTAACTTTTTTAAAGCACGATCGGTTATAAAATTAAGATGAAATTCAATAGTATTATTAATAAATGTTTTCAATGTAATGCTCATTTTATAATAAGTAATATATGCGTAGATATATTTTTAATTTATAAATAGCTTTCAAAACATTCTAAAAGTAAAGTTTTAAATTAAATTATTTCACATTAAACTGACAAATAATTCTTGAATAGAATACAATGTATGAATATTTGTTGCCATAGCAAAATAATGCTAAAATTTTCTTTCTACAATTTAATAATCAATTTTACTTTAATTATATAAAACAAAAAAATCTCAATTTAATGTTTTTGTGAATAATTTTTTGTTTACATGTTTCGCATTAATAAATATAAATAAAATCAATTAAATATTATGGAATCTCTAGATTATTAGAATTAGATATATTTAGATGTCCATCACTTCTTTTAAAATAAAAATTCTAACAATAAAATTAATGTAAATTTTATTTAAATCGAATTAAGTGTAAATTACTATTAAACTAAATTTTTGCAACGTTTTATTAATAAATATTGAGAGTATAAGTCGATATCATCATCATAATTTTATTTTTAAATACAATATGGTCATATTAAAACAGTTATATGTTTAATTATTTTATCATCAGATAGAAAAATGAAAAAAATTACATTTGTTTTAGATCTGGATTGCCAATATCATTTATAAATATCCATGTATAGTTCGTGTTCTTGGTATCCACTCGTTTAAACCACTTGTTACAAACTTTACACATAAACTCTTTGAACTGCATCATGAACCATCCGTTGATGTTTACACTACATTTTGCTTTCCTCTGCTTATTTGCAGGAAATCTAAACGAACGAATGTCTGTAGATTTACTTTTACAATTTTGTGCCTCACAATAACCCAGTGTCTAAAGATTTCAGTATTTATATATGTAACTAGCCGCAAGGACCCGCTTCGCTGGGTTTTTAAAAAGTAACGATAGTGAAGATTAAGATAATTACATTATAGCCAATCTTATCCGTTTTCACACAATGCAAGAATTAGGTCTCCCGTTTCCAGTCTAATTAGAGACCTGGTCCCAATTCTATTTCTAAACGTCTCCTGTTCACGTCAAGTCAAACGAACTATTTTCAACGTTTCTGGAACGTTTACNCTTTAGGCATGGGCAAAGTCGAGTGAAAGTGGGATGACAAATCGGTCCGCTACTGATCTTTGTCGTGAGATTCTCTCGTGAGAACGGTTGCGAATTGTGTGACTTTCGGAAGCTCCTACCGGTTGCCAAACTCTACCGGCCGATGCGGGCAGACTTTACGTTTCTCCCAAACTGTTTCCTCTTCTTGCCGATTTCTTGTTAGAGTTAGGGAAAATCTCCTAAGTCGGCATCGTTGGCTAATCTCCGTTCTCGAGTTTTTGGGAAAAAGTCCGTCGAGAGAAGGGAAGTTGGGGATTTTTCCCCCACGTATGGAGAATAATTGCTTGTAGTGGTTCTTATCTCTATAAAATTTAGTTTTTACTAACAGAAAATAAAATCTCTAACACTGCTTTTTATTAAGAAAGAAACATTCCAGGTATTTTATTTGTTAAAAAAGAGAATATCTAATGAGACCTGCTAAGAGGCAAGAGGGGCCCGCTCTACATATGGTCCCGTACGTGCTCTCCACAGCCATTTGTAGTATAATGCATATTTCAATTTTTCTTCATAATTTTGTTGGAGAAAGTGTATTATTTCATTTCATTTATTCTGTACATAATTTTATTAATGAATGGAATTTTTGCCCAGTCATTTTAAATTTACGATATTTCAGTTGCGATTATGTTTTGGCTCTCTTAAAATTTATTAGTCATGATAATTTGATACTTGACAATTTAAAAAGTTTTATAGATTCATGATATTATTATTTTTTACATATTTATTAAGCTAAATATTTGTTAATATTCAATAAATAATATTCACTGATACTTATGAATTATAAATGGAATATGTTTGATTTATAAATTGCAAAGAATAACAATAATTTATTAAAATTTACACACACTTTTTTAATTGATTCAGCTATTCAGTTTATGAATTATGAACATAGGAAAGTCATTAAAAATACTCAATTTTAATTTAGATATGCAAAACATGTGTTCTAAGCAAAGAAAACTGCAAAGAAAAGATTATCTGAATAGAGGATGATTAGGAATTTAAAAGATACTTCAAAAATTATGCTTTTTTCAAATAAACATTTTTCCAAAATCTACCAAAATATAAATTTTCAAAACAAAAGTATCAAAAATATAAAGAAAGGAAACTTTTGGAAATTAGAATGCCGCTACATTCTATATGTAGAACAGTTATTTTGTTTTACATTTCCTGAAGAGGGCCAATAAAATAGTGGCTGGAAAATGTTTGAATACTGAATTTGGGTGTTTCTTTGCTGAAAATTCTGCTTTTAGGTGTGATTCTTTGCATATATAGTTCCAGTTTGTGTACAATAATTGTGTTTTGTTTAGATAAAGGAAATAAACGAAAAATATTTTCTTAATAATTCAAACTATATGCGCTATTGGCCTTTTGCACCAAAATAAGACGGTTAATAGAATTAAGTAAATGTGGTATTTAATTTAGCCATTGAAGAGTAGATCATTTGAAAATCACTAAAATATCATTTTAACAAGATAAGTAAACAACATAATTAATTGTTTCAAAGACAAGAAATTTGCAAAATGAGAGTGGTAGTTCTCTCATATCAGATCACTGAGTGACTGAGGGATGCAGGCTGTGCGTGCCTGATTTACATAATTCTCACCACTAAAATGCATTGCAATGCTTTTTGCTTAAAACTCAATGGAGTCAACTTACAACACTGTCTAAAATTAATGTAGGTGGCGCATGGTGACTTTACGTCTGTTTAGCACGAAAAAAATGCTTGTTGGAGCATTTTCGGAACTGCAATTAACAAGGCGCATTTCCTTCAACGACGACCGAAAAAAGATGCGAAATCAAAAACGTGAAATGAATATTTAACGAATGTCCTTCTACAAAAATCCGGTTATTCGTACGTGTACATGAATGAATGCATTAAGTCTGCAGATTGACAAGTTTCTTTTAAGGTATTATTAAGTATTTTTCTTGCTAAAACTATTATATTTTTTCGAATGTTGCGGTTATTAATATATTTTTTAACTTGGTTTGGATGAAAAATTATATAAATTGAAATTTTGCCCCTTCAGTTCGTACCACATACAGTAAACAATGTTGCAGTGGGAAGGGCTAACCCCAGTGTTGCCAACCTTCTGTGGTGAAAACCCCCTAAACACGCTTGAAATTCCCCTTAAAACTAATGGAGTTCCCTCTAGAAACTGAAACAAATTCTCTCTAAATGGCTTTGCTGTCGGTGCAATGCGCATAAAAATATATTAGTGTTTTGACAATTCGGAGAAACAAGAGTTTTTAACTTTAGGCGTGGACAAAGTCGAGTGAAAGTGGGATGACAAATTGGTCTGCTACTGATCTTTGTCGAGAGATTCTCCCGTGAGAACGGTTGCGAATTGTGTGACTTTCGGAAGCTCCTACCGGTTGCCAAACTCTACCGGCCGATGCGGGCAGACTTTACGTTTCTCCCAAACTGTTTCCTCTTCTTGCCGATTTCTTGTTAGAGTTAGGGAAAATCTCCTAAGTCGGCATCGTTGGCTAATCTCCGTTCTCGAGTTTTTGGGAAAAAGTCCGTCGAGAGAAGGGAAGTTGGGGATTTTTCCCCCACGTATGGAGAATAATTGCTTGTAGTGGTTCTTATCTCTATAAAATTTAGTTTTTACTAACAGAAAATAAAATCTCTAACACTGCTTTTTATTAAGAAAGAAACATTCCAGGTATTTTATTTGTTAAAAAAGAGAATATCTAATGAGACCTGCTAAGAGGCAAGAGGGGCCCGCTCTACATTTGGTCCCGTACGTGCTCTCCACAGCCATTTGTAGTATAATGCATATTTCAATTTTTCTTCATAATTTTGTTGGAGAAAGTGTATTATTTCATTTCATTTATTCTGTACATAATTTTATTAATGAATGGAATTTTTGCCCAGTCATTTTAAATTTACAATATTTCAGTTGCAATTATGTTTTGGCTCTCTTAAAATTTATTAGTCATGATAATTTGATACTTGACAATTTAAAAAGTTTTATAGATTCATGATATTATTATTTTTTACATATTTATTAAGCTAAATATTTGTTAATATTCAATAAATAATATTCACTGATACTTATGAATTATAAATGGAATATGTTTGATTTATAAATTGCAAAGAATAACAATAATTTATTAAAATTTACACACACTTTTTTAATTGATTCAGCTATTCAGTTTATGAATTATGAACATAGGAAAGTCATTAAAAATACTCAATTTTAATTTAGATATGCAAAACATGTGTTCTAAGCAAAGAAAACTGCAAAGAAAAGATTATCTGAATAGAGGATGATTAGGAATTTAAAAGATACTTCAAAAATTATGCTTTTTTCAAATAAACATTTTTCCAAAATCTACCAAAATATAAATTTTCAAAACAAAAGTATCAAAAATATAAAGAAAGGAAACTTTTGGAAATTAGAATGCCGCTACATTCTATATGTAGAACAGTTATTTTGTTTTACATTTCCTGAAGAGGGCCAATAAAATAGTGGCTGGAAAATGTTTGAATACTGAATTTGGGTGTTTCTTTGCTGAAAATTCTGCTTTTAGGTGTGATTCTTTGCATATATAGTTCCAGTTTGTGTACAATAATTGTGTTTTGTTTAGATAAAGGAAATAAACGAAAAATATTTTCTTAATAATTCAAACTATATGCGCTATTGGCCTTTTGCACCAAAATAAGACGGTTAATAGAATTAAGTAAATGTGGTATTTAATTTAGCCATTGAAGAGTAGATCATTTGAAAATCACTAAAATATCATTTTAACAAGATAAGTAAACAACATAATTAATTGTTTCAAAGACAAGAAATTTGCAAAATGAGAGTGGTAGTTCTCTCATATCAGATCACTGAGTGACTGAGGGATGCAGGCTGTGCGTGCCTGATTTACATAATTCTCACCACTAAAATGCATTGCAATGCTTTTTGCTTAAAACTCAATGGAGTCAACTTACAACACTGTTTTCTATATGTGCCACGAATATGAAGAGGTGAGTGAAAGAACGGGTTAAAATTTCAATTTACAGAATTTTTCACCTGTACCTTTAACATTGCTTTATCTTTAAACAGTAGTATTGTGAATTCTAAATATAAGCTTAAAGGCTTAAAGTTTTATTTCTTATACTTAGGAAAGTCAATTCAATTTATTTCATTAATTTTATACAAAATTCAAGGAGTAAGAACATACTTTATAGTTTGAATTCTAGAACAATGGTCGGCAACTGGTGGTCCATGGAGAAATTTGAACATTGATCAACTGAAGGTTATGCAAAGTATTACAAAAGAAATGCAAAATGCTTAGTTGCTTTTTTCACTCATTGGGATTTTTTTTATTCAAATCTAAAACCAAAAATAAAATGACTCTTATCAATAAATAATGAACAATAAACAATATTATGAGTGCGATTGTCGTCCTTCATAGAAAAGCGCAAAGAATCCATAAACTTGTTTCAAACTAGTAGCCATGAACTTTAGGATTGCATTAATTTGTTATAATTAAACATGTGAGTTTGCTATTAATATAGTAAAATTGAACTTTTATTATTTTGCAGATTTTGTATCATTTAAAAAATTCATGATAATGGTCAGGATTCAAAATTGTGTCTTTAGTGGTCCGTGAGGTGAGAAAGGTTGCCAACCGCTGTTCTAGAACATATAGATGAAGAAAAGATTTTTCCAGCAGAAACCATTTATATCTTTCTGAAATGTAGATCATCCCTCTGTGACCAAAAAAGAAACTAGAAGGAACCATAGACAGTGTGAAATTTTTTTTTGATATCATTTTAACATCACTCCTGAAAGTTCAGAAGTGATCCTTTGAGGTATCCTGCTCCAAAGTTTATTTTATGTCTCTTCTTGTCTGGAGAAAACACTAATTTTAAACAGATTTATGATGATATTCCAGTGTTTTTAAATGTCAGTATCAATGAAGGAAAATGGAAATTGGTGGTATAGCCTTAGTCATGTAATAAAATTTAAACTTTCTAGATGGAACCATATATATTTGAATGTGTTTTCTAGACTTTGTAATTAATGTAATTCAAAATGTATAAAAGGAGGAAAAGGAAATGTGATAAACTGAAAACATCATACCAGAAGAACGTATAGAGAAATCTAGGAAGTCCTATCTCTGGATCTTGTCATTGCTCTGTCTACTGAATAAAATTTCATTAATATGTACATTTTTAAATTTTAAGATTTTAATTCTTTATTTTAACAATATAAAACAATTTTTATAGCCAGAAAATAATATAAAAATTATTTTAATGTTATGATTTTTATAATATTTAACTTGAAGATTAATTTTTCTTTGATAATTTTTTCAATATATATAGCCTCATCCAAATTATAAAATGTACATATTGTTCTATTTTGGTACATCCTGATTGTGTATTCCTATGGATATCAAAACTTGCCACTCCTTCAATTCTATAATTGGAAAAAATTATTCAGTGATTGTAAATATTTTCCTGTTAAGATCAATCATTTATTACATAAGTGATTATAAATTTTGTACATCTTATTAAACAAGTTTGTTTTGTAAAGTTCATTTGCAGATAATGATCATAGTTCAGGTGACTGTATCTGTAAATTAACTTTTTAAACTTGTTTAGTAAGATGGTGTACAAAATTTGTAATAAATGAATGATCTTAACAGGAAAATGGTTATGATAATGGACATACTATTATTATGCTAATGAGAAATCATTTTGAGAGATGAACTTTTAAAGACTGCAATATTGCAAATTTAAAATAAGATGACAAATATGTTTTCCTTAAAATAAGTTAATTTTAAAGAATGTTATGGGTAGAAAATTTTAAATTTGCTTAAAAATCTGTCTTTTTCCAATTATAAAATTATTTGTTATTAAAAATAGTACATTAAATAACTAATTAACACTGTTTATTAAAAAATTAATTTGTTGCCTTATAATTTTCCTGAAGTAAAAATAGAATGTAAATGGATAGTATTCTTTATATTCTATTTGTGCCTCCAGAAGAAGAAAAATTATTTGAAATTCATCATTGAGCTTTATTTTTAACACAATGTTATGTAACATGCTGTATACTGTTTCTAATATCTTTTTCAGCTTTTAAGTCTTAAATAAGGCAATGTTATTAGTATAGTTTCATTAAAAACTATATATTATGAAGTTGTAGACCTCAAAAATCCAAACAATATTCTTGCTTGGATGTAAAAATTTAGATGTAGAACATCTGTGTGCAGTTGCCTCATATGTCAAGCTTATTTTGTAGTCAGTCACTGTGGCATTTGCAGGTTTACTTATTTGTTATTTGTCATCAAATGAAACATTTGTATAATGTCAGCATATGGGAATTCAGTACACTCTTGCTAATCTATATTAATTATTTTATAGGTCATTCAGATTAGTGTGTGTGTGTAAATACAAACTTATTAAATGTATAAGAATACATTTAAATATAATTCAGTTTTTGATGTTATAAAAGCGAAAATATTTGCTTAAAAATATAATAAAAATGTTTCAGATGTCTAAAATAACAGCTGGAATTTTTATCTATATTTTCTGTAAAATAAGATTATTTCTTATCAAGTTTTAAATTTAAAAATGGGTAAGAAATAATCATATCAATAGCGTCTGTCTGATATAGTTTCAAATGACAGATATGGAACTATATGAATTGTTTGTAAGTTATTAAATTACTCATGATAATATATACATATGTAGATTGCATTACAGAAATGTTTATATGTAAGTTGTAACAACAATGTGCCAGACATTTAATTTATCTATAAATTACAACTTAAAATTAATATATTTTAAGTTGTAATTTATAGATAAATTAAATTCTGCAAATTTCAGGAAATTAACTTTTAAAGATTTATAATATGTGGAATGAGTCGGATTATTTATACATTAAAATATGATTTTGCTTTTTGCTTCTGTTAATATAAGAAATATTCTAGTTCTTCTGGCAGTCTCAAGGCATTTAAATGACAAATTTTTAGAATGATTCTAATCAATAAATATGATTTAAAGTATGTATATATATTTTGCAAAAAAATATATTAACTGTAATGTCAGGATTATCTTGATATACATAATGTTTAATATTACAAATATCAATGGCTTATTAATTGTCTAGGAACTAATAGAAGTGAGTCTTTCTAGAACATTTCAAAACTCTAAACTATTAGAAAACAGCAAAAAACAAAATGAATAATTCCACTTCTTAGATAAATTCAGCCCCTGAAGATAAAGCCAACAAAATTCAAAGGCACTTGAATTTTAAAGTTCAAATTTTTCACTTTAATAAATATTTTTTTTTATAATTCTGATTTGAATAAGTGTTTGTTTTTAACTTTATCATTATGTATACTTTGACCTTTACATGAATAAATCATAAATCAAATTAGAATTGTTTATTTTCATTTATGTTTTTCAAAATTAAAATTTACTGCAGTTTACTATTTATATATTGTCATGTAATATCATAAACTGGATAGTTCTAATTAAAATGCCTCAAAGTCCTTTCTCTTACTAAAATATAAATATTTGTCTATAATTTAATATCTTCTATTATCAGGACTTATTATACTGGTTTAACCAATATAATAAGTCCTGATAATAGAAGATACGAAATTATAGATGAAAATTTATATTTGGATAGTTCTAAATTCACTCACATACTATACCATAAAACTCTAGCAGAAAAAAAAAAATTTAATTGCAAACATTTTCAACCTTGCTTAAAGGCCATCTTCAAACTAGAAGATGGCCTTTAAACAAGGTTGAAAATGTTTGCTGCCTGAGTTTTATGCTGTAGTGGGCTAGTGAGTATGTATTTAAGTCTTTGTTTTATTATTTTAACAGTACTTTGTTTTGAATTTTTCATTATAGAATGAATATTGCTTGAAAATAAAAATTTGAAAGCCATGGAAGATTTGGACAACTTTGATGTACATCCTCTTTCTCTTTCTGAAATTCTGAAAAAAAATTCTGATTACTTGAATGAAGAAAATGATCCAGTCAAGTTTAAAGGCAAAATTTCAAATATATTTTCCTTGTCTATGGGGCTTAAGAGACAATCTAAGAATAAACTTAAAAAAACAGGTAAATACTAAATCTAATTTATGATATAAAAGAAGTTTATAATGATGTCAAACATATTTATGATAAAGTTTTAAAAGTTAAGAATTTAAAAAAAAATTTTTTTAAAGAATGGTTGTCTGAATAGAAATGCATTAAAAATGACAGATTAATTGTACAGCTGTTTTCAAGGTTAAGTTTTAATTAGAAAATATATTGCCATATAATTTGATACAGAAAAGATTGTTACTAAAAATTGTTTTGAATTCAAATAAATGTTATCCTTGTGTATGTATATATATTCAAGGATGAGATATAATAAACAAGGATAGTACATATATATAGTATTTATAATGCTAATTATTTTTTAAAAATAAAAATACAAGAAAATTATAGTAAATTTTAGAATTGTGATAGCTTAGATTTAGAAGATTTATTATTGATGTCATATGAAGGTGATTTTTCAAATAAATAAACAACCTTATTTACATAAACCAGAACAAAAATTTAATGAACATGATAAATATTTTTGGCCTATTCGTAGGTGAACATCCAGTCTAGTCAACTTTAAAACTTAGAAATTTTGCATTCTAGTGTAGAATGTGTAGGTGTTCTATAATAAATATTACAAATCAAATTTTTAGAAGCCTTACAAATATTTGTAGCAGCAAGAAAAGGAGATTGCCTCAATTTTAAGGTTTGTGAGAAATAATCAATCACTTGGCAGTCCTTCTATGATAACTCTGACAATTCAGAAATGGAAACCATAAATAATTGGTATGTTTTTATATTTATAACAACATCAAACAAAACTTTAAATATGAATGTATTTAAAAAAAATGCATTTTATTATTGTCAGTAAATTTTATGCAGAACACACATTTGTAATTTCCTAGTGTTCTAATTTTTGAATTTGTAATGTTTGTTATAGAATGCTTAATATATGTTAAAATAGGATGTAAAATCTGTAGGTTGTAACACTGTCCTGATGTTGGCCTATAAATATGACAAAAACATTTGTCCTGTTCATTAAATTTTTGTGTTGGTTTATGAAAATAAAGTTGTTTCTTTATTGATTATTCTATACATCAATTTTGAATGAGTTGTATTCTTATGAGATGATTTTTTTCAAGAAATATTTCAATATAGTCTTATTTTAAAATCTTCTGATAAAATAAATTGTAGTTTTGAAAATATTTTCCAATGTTTCAAGAAATTGTCGTCTTTAGTCGTAAAGTTAAAATAAAGAGCTTGTAATGGAACACTCAACTTTCTACTAAACTTTTGACTATTATAGTGAATCATTAAAATGAATTAATTGTAAATATTTATCATTTTAAATTTAACTTAGTCCTTTGGAACTTAAGTATATTTCTCCTAAATTCTTAAATAAACACAAGTGTTTAAATTTGTTTTTAAATTGTAATTTAACATGAAATTGAATACAAATATTACAATTTTGAATATTCTATTCAAGAGCACAATAATAATAATCCAAGTTAAAACTTAAATTAAATCTAATTTTAGAAGTGACATTTTACACATTAAATCTGTTCTGTTGTACTTACTTACTTTATTATTAAGATTATCTTAATTATTAGATTTACTATAATAATTAATAGTTTGTTCTCATATTTACACACTTAAATTTCACATTGATTTGATAAAACGAAAAATATATTTAGTTTACATAATTCATGCTTTATTTTCTTATGGAAAAACAAATTGTAATTTTTTTTTTAGTATAAATTATTACAAGAGTTGTTTATTCTATACATTCAACAGACTAAATTATATCTTTCATTTTAAAATTTTATACCTTTTATGTTTTTGTTATTATTGTGTATTGTTTTTTTCACAATTTGTTCTGAAATATGCAATCCTGTGAATTGTTAGAAAATACATAGGAGTCCTGCAAGGGATACATTCTGCATTGTAGGAAATCATGTTAGTGAGATATGCATTATCAAATGATTTTATGCAAGTTTAAACCTATGAAAGAGAAAATGTACACCTATTCACAACAAAAACAGAATTTTGTATGAGTACTAGTCATGATTTTTTGTTGAATTATATGAATTTGTGATGTAGAGGAGCATGTTATATGGGAGTTTACTGTATGTTTGGCCCAAAAGAACTATTTTTGTAATTATTAAAAATTATTCTCATGTTTTTAAATCATCAACTGTGAATAGCAAATCAGACATAAAAAAACTGACATACAGAAACTGGAACTATATACTAAACAAACAACTTGACACCTAAGTGCTAATTCCAGCAGTAAATGAAAAATAAACTTTAATGCTTGAACATTTTCAACCATCTTTCAGAGGCCCTCTTCAGGAAACACACAAAAAGCAATTCTATCTTTTGAAAATTTAATCATCAAATATAGCTGTGTTCCAATTTTTAAATATTTAAATAATGTACTGTACGATGCAAAAATTGTTACATTTACAACATAAAAATTAATTATTTTTATAAATAATTTATTTTATAGTGTTGTAAAAATTAGTGCGATGTTTGAACTTATTAACAATGTGGAAATTGTTTCCTTTACATAGCAGAAAGATGAATACCTAATTACACATAAAAATTATTATTGTACTTTGTTGCATTGTAAATAATACTTCCACAGTTGTGGAACCAGAATATAGTCAGAGTTAATGCAACCTACCTTTATGCTCTCTATATAAATCTCGAGAGCCTCCAACGAGCATAAGTCGTGTCGGTCAAAGGCCCTGTGTAAAAGAGTTACTTTGTACCAACATGGAGAAACTCCAGGTTCAGTAGCATACTCTGACTATATTCAGTTGCATTAACTCTGACTATATTCTGGTTCCACAACTGTGGAAGTATTATTTACAATGCAACAAAGTACAATAATAATTTAATTATAGTATAAAGGGGAAATATAATACTGGACTAGTGCAGTATTATATTTCCCCTTGGACACATCATATTTGTGGTCACATATTCTAGCCTCAAGCGATCTGTACATGGATCCAGTGTATGTTATATGTCTATTGAAACATTTGTCATGCAATGAGATGTGGTACACTCCTGACACTTTTTGTCATCGGACTTGTCTTTTGCATTAGATAAAAGTCAGAAAATATTCCATTTTCTTTTATACGTTAAGCACAAGTTTAAATCCTTAGCAATTCTATTATAAATTTGTTGAAGGGATGGTTCATAAGATATAATAACTCAATTGTGCTCTGCATTATTAACCCTCATGTTGGTGGCAGTTATTGTAGATTGCTGGTTGGCAGCGAGCCTATTTATTAAGGACTGGTGGTACCCATGTGCAGAAGCTATACACTAGACACGTTTCAGTTTGTTGTAGATATCAGAAATTTCTGAGCAATGGGAGTAAGCCCTTGTGATTAGGGTCCGGAATGCCGCTACCTTTAAAAGGCCAAGGGTCTGATGAGTTAGCAGGTATGAAGAGAGGAATGTATGTGGTTTGTGGTAACACAAACCCACATATATTCCTCTTCATACCTGCTAACTTTGTTTTGTGAATAGCAAATCAGTCCTTTTCCTACAGCCTTTGGTTTAAAATATGTGAATGCTCTGCAATACCCAATACTATAATTAGATGATATTTAATGCTATGGTATTTCTAGCATTTTCATCTTTGCATGTGATCTGCTCTTCATTTATACAGGTATTAGCTGTTACCTGCGACTTCACCCATGTGGATTTTGCAAGCAAACTTCATTTATATTCAGTATTTCAACAACTATAGTAATTGTTATATAACACCTATCGCTGAGAATGATGAGAATTTCTGAGAATCAAATGAACTATTTTCAATTTGATCAATTTTCTGGAATGTTTACAATCATTCTATAATCAAACCAATATGCAATAACAAATTCAAATTTAAAACAGTTTGAACATTTGGTTAAAAAATCAAAATATATAAAAATATTTATAACAATGTCTGAAATATTATCGATTAGCTACCCCTAAGTACTCAATGAAAACTAAATGTAGTTAAAAACAAAAAATTGCATCTAAAATAGTACAGTAGAAGCCATTCTACAGGTTAAGCCTTAATCTTCTCCCTCTCCCCCCTACTGAGGAATTTCGAAAAATCCCTTCTTAGTGTGCGTTTTCACGACGTACCCTAATGTACAAAATTTCACTTCTTTAGGTTCATCAGTTTGATCTGGGCAATGAGGAGTCGGTCAGGACAAGTAATTTTATATATTTAGATTTAATTGAAGTCACTATAGCAACATGACTCTAAAGTTGAATAGTATTTATCTGTGTAAGTTGTTACCATGCTGTACTGAGCTAAGTTCATTACAGATTTGGTTTTCAGGTATAAACAAGAAAATTAAAATCCTAATTTTCTATGATGCTATTTGTTTTAAGAAGTCTGTTTTTACTACAGAATAAACTTATGAAATGGATAATGTCTGATCTTTAGATCTAGAGCCAAAATTTCATATTTAAGTTGGAAAAATAAGTATGTCCTTATTAATTATAGAAGGATGCTACTTTAAAAATTTATGTATTAAATTGAGATTATGTTTGTGTAATTAGTTTATTATAAATTATTTATTTTTGAATGGAATGTATTATATTTTCATTTCTGGAGATTGTCTTAAAATATTTTGATTATTGTTAGGATTTATGAAGTTTTACAATTGTGTGTTTTATAGTTACACCACCATTATTGCAATGGAAGTTAGCTGCAGAAAAAGCATTGCATATGGATGATCCATGGGCTATTTTTCATCTTGACGAATTAGAAACGGAAACTGCAAAACGTTATCGTTACAATGCTTTGAATCAAGATTGGTTGGAGGATATTATAAAAGTGAAAATTGCCAAAGAGGTTTAAACTTTATTTATCATTTTGATATTTTTATATAAGAAAATATTTGTAAAACATAAACTGATGAGTTTTTTTTTTCCTCTGCCCTGCTAATAGCCCTTTGGACATGGTGCCATGAGACAGTGCTATAGATTGTATGTTTTTTATTTAAAATATTTATTAGAATGTAATTTATTGATCATAATGTAGAGATTAGAATTATTCTGTTTATACTATATTTATAAATGTTTAATAAAAATTAACCAAACAATTTTTACATAGTTTTGTGCAGATAACCTATGGTGATATATAAACCATGTTGGCATATACACAAAAAATTGTAACAACAAAAATAAAAATAAAATATTTGTATTACTCACCCTATAATAAGTCGTACACATTTGGGACAGCTGTTGAAAGCAAGATAATTACCAGTATGCAGTTTAGAAGTTGCCATCTCAAGCATTAAAATATTGCTTTTGCTGTTTCAATCCTGTTAATAAATCATTGCAGATATACATAAACAATCAAGTCCATATATTTATAATAATTATATTAATTTTCTGGTTATTTGGTCAGAACTGTTTGCTTCAACACAAGAAAAATTTTCATTATTTATTCATCACTATCATTTGACATTAATTTTACCTATTGTCAGTGTTGTTGTAAAAGTGATTTGTAACAAGTTGTTCTGCCATGTTTATAGGAATACATGATTATTCTTTGAACATACTTTTCCTGTAAACATGATTATTTGACATTTTGTAAAGTTTTTAACTATTTATGTAATATATATTTTTTTTTAATTAAAAATTCATATTTTTGGAATCACTGAATTATTAAGATATAAAATAAGATAATTTATCCTGATATTAGTCTGCAATCATAAAACAATGACTTCCACAAGGGGAGAAAATCTATTTCTAATTAGTATTCATTAACAAACAAAGCATGTAATCTGTTAAAAAAAATTAAATTTGTTCCTTAATAATTTTCCTGAATTTTATATTAATACATTGGAAGAAATTTTAGTCAAAACTACTACAGTATTTTGTTACAAACCAAGTTTATTCAAACAAAAATTGAAAAATGGTAAACAGTGTCATTTAAATTACAATAATTTATAAGATTTTGCACTTTATTTTCAGTTTTAGACTAGTTCATTCACATCTGCCCTCAAACTAAGTTTGTGAAGTGTAATTGTCAGAGGTTCTGAAAGAGTTGAAATATTTCAAAAACAAATTTTATCAATATAAAAGTATTAGGAATTCTCTCAAATTTATATTTTTTCTAACACTACATTTTTAAAGTCATGAAATGTTTTAAAATTTAAATATGCCAATTGACACTACTAAGGGCTCAGTCCAGTCTAATTTATTACATTTTATGATAACTCATTACACACTGCTGTTACAATAACATTAAGTAACATTAATATCAAATGATAATGGTGAATTAATGGAGAAATTTTTCTTGTGCTGAAACTGTATCACATTATAGTTTGGCTAACTATTAATAATTAATATAAACTTTTTTTTATAAAGGTGCTATTTTATACTAACATTAACTAATAATTACAACAATTTTTGGATTAAATGTAATTCAAAATTATTAATGAAACTGAAACTAAAGACATTTTTTTTTTGCTTTATTTTTTTAAACTGTAATATAGAAATTATTTTACATTAAAAATTGGCTGACAGCATTTACATATTAAAAATACAAAATATATTGAAGATAAAATATTTACCTGTATGATTCATTGTTCACACTCACCAGTGATAACCAAAAAATTTTGTACTCAGAGATGACCTTTTATTTCAGGCTATGCCTCTAAAAAAACTCACAACTTATAATAAATTGTCATTTAAAATTTTTTAATCACTATTTATTATAAGTTTGAATTTAAAATCCGCATATAACCTGCTTGATTGCATACATTCACTTTTTCAAATTATCTTTCAAACTCAGATAACATGCAGGTTGTCCACACAAAATTATGGTAATATCTTTTACTAGGAAGATAATTTAAATTTATGTATAATATGTTTCATTTAAAATGCATGATGTTAATGATTTTATAAATTTATATTAATATATATATAGAATTTTTGAGGTGGCGCGTTAGTGAAGACACTATATGGTTCATTTACTCAAATTTTTTTTTCTAAAAATTTGATTGGCAGATTTTGTAATCAAAGTCTACCAATCAAATTCAACAACTTTGCCATTTTACATAATTTGAAGTGAGGAAATTAAAAATGTAATAAATCAGGGGTCTATGATTTCAATTTAGAGATACAGTGGGGTCAGTGACAATGTCCAAGTCACTAGCATGAGCTTGTGAAATCATTTTTATTCTTTTTCTATGCCAGTGACAACATTGCTGTCATGGTACTGGCAAGTGATCATTACAGATGGCCCCTAAAACAATATTATTGACTTGCTAGTGCTTCAGTTCAATTCTTAGTTTTATGTTTGGGCAGAAAATGAACTGTGCCTAATAAAAATTGATATAAACTTTATATAGTCTTAGTACAAATTGTGTTTAAGTTTGTTTAAACCATATATATTGTGCACAATAGTTTTGGGAAATAATCAGACTATAAGTGACAAAAGACGACATGCATGATATAAACTTGTAAAAATTTCCAGTTATACTTGATTAGAATAGCTGTAATTCATAAAATTTTAAATTAGCATTAAACACACTTGATATGATGACAGTTTGTTGAATATATTCAACAATGTAGATTCAAACCTTATTTTGAGTATGGATATTATTTATAAAATCTCACTGTAACTGCAAATAGTGTATGATATTGTGAAAGAATAAAAATTAAAAAGCTAATGAGATAAAATGAAGCAATGTTTGTACTTGAACAAGAAACAGATAAATGATACTGATTTTTCTTAAAGTCTATCATAATAGTGCTTACATAACTTAGCACGAGTTCTCATTTGATTGATCTTGGATCCAACATCTATGATGCAGTTTCATTTTTTGCATTTGAAATAATCACGAAATAACAGAATTTGATGAACCTTGATCCTGTCACAAATGGAACACATGAATATAAAGCAGTGCTAAATTTAGCTTGAAACTTAGTAAAAGTACAATAGATTCATCAGGTCTGTTACTGTGAGTTATTTCTTTTCTGAAGCTTTGAAAAACTATCTGTAAAACCACAGTTTTCAAATAGTTGAAAGCATACAAAGAATCGTAACTGATGTACTGACTTCACAGGAGAAAATTTTCAAAAGTGGTTTCAGAAGCAGCTGGATTAGACCCAGTGTGTTTCTTCTGAATAAGATTAATTTGAATGAGATAGGGTTAACACCTAATAATTTTTATAATAAAATTCTCTATAACAATAGTTTCATCACTTTCATAACACATCTATAACCTATTTTGAGTTACATAGAGAAATCTTTGTTTAGATAAAATATTTACAATATTTGAATATCAGAAATTTAAAATTGGCACCTCAGTTATTTGACTTTGACAAGTTATTTAACATACAAAATGGTTTCATTGAGGCAGCATGTTAGTGAAGCCTATTCTTACAGAATTGTGTTTGTTCTCAAAATCTGTCTGCTCAAATATGATTAAACTTTACCACTTTTCATTAATTGCAATGAGGAATTCAAAAATGTAATAAAGGTCCAGTTAAATGTAAAAAATAAGAGTCCCTAACTTTGTTTTCGATATACAGAGGTATTACAGTGACAATATCTGTGCTCTGATGAGACTGAGTATGTCTAATGGAATTTAGGCATTGGGGACAACAATAAAAACATCATCGCATGCACGTAACAGAAAATAAGTGTGAAAAACAAGCAAAATACAAGAACAAGCAATCAATGGTGATTGTTTTGTTCTTGGATCATCTCTTTGTACCTGCCCAGTGCAAGAATCATGTCTCCCATGGCCAACAGGTACAAGGTTATCCTCTTTTGTAGCAGAAAGTACAAAGCTTGCCATTCATGTCCTTCAGGTACAAGGATTGTCTTTTCTATGGCCTAACAGATGCAAGGATTGCTTCTTCCTTTATTGCTTTGCCTCAATTCTATTATCATTCGACAAAGTCATATGATATCCTAGTTTTAATTTAATATTTTGATTCTCATAAAATTATTACAGATTTTAAAAAATTAACTATTTGGAAATTAGATTTTTGACAATAATTGAAACAAGTTATATCAAACTTATAAATATGTAAAAAAAAATTTTACTTTTAAAGGAAAAAATTACCAACATTTGGACACCACAGTTGGGAAAATGCTGCGAATTTTGTTGCAAAATGTTACATGGAAAATGTTAATAGAGATATATATTTTGAAGATGTTAAGCTTCAGATGGATGCTAAACTGTGGGGAGAAGAATATAATCGACATAATCCACCCAAGAAAGTAATTAAAACTTGAATAATTTTTATAATTAGAGTTACGTAAAGAATCATTTTATAAATAGTAGTTAAACTTTTTTAGATACTCCTGATTTTAATTTGATATTAATAAATGTTTATCTTTATGTTTTAGGTAGATATATTTCAAATGTGTGTAATTGAATTTGTGGATAGACCAGGAAAACCTTTATATCACTTAGAAAGATATATTGATGGCAAATATATAAAGTACAATTCAAATTCTGGGTATATTAGCTGTGAAAATCTTCGTTTAACTCCACAGGTAAGGAAAATCATTTCAGTTTGAAGATTGGATTTAATAATTGATTTTAAAAAGCGAGAAAACTGGTATTAAAAATAGTTTAATCTAGCAAATTTAGATACAATCAAAAGTAGTGCACTTTTTAAGTAGTTTTACCCTTGTACAAGACTGAAAAATACTTGTAAATGGATCTTCTCTATAAATATTAAATTAAGAACTGCCAATATCTGTGAATTACTATGTAAGGTAGTTTTGATTTCTTATAGTAATAATATCACCGAATCATACAATTTCATTCCTAAATGTGTGAGGACCTGGAGAGAAAGGATTACATTCTATTTTAAAAGTAATGTACAGTGCTCTATGATAAGATAAGGAAAAATGATAAGTCTGTTATGAGAGATCTTTCAGTCTCTCTGATGTACATTTTATAAAAGTTGTGTTCCTGTGATATGAAAAGGCTATACTAAAAAGACTTCAAATTTTCTTTGTTTTCAAATTATGTATATTATATTTTAAGGTAAATTTCCATTGTGTACTTTTTATTGTTGTAAAACATTAAAAGATTCTTGTATTAAAGTAAAAAGTTGATAATTTTAGTCTAAAAATGTAATTTATATAAAAGTTTCAGTATAATTCAGTTAAGTTCTAAATTAGATAGTGAATGAATGTCTGATATCCTCCAGCTTTAGATCCTGAACAAATTTGAAAGTAGAAACAATGAATTTATTGAACAAACCTAACTGAAATTATACTTAAGTAGTTGAAAGATGCTGGATCAATTTCTATGAATTTACTTCAATATTCACACTTTGTTGTTTATTTAATCTAGAACCTTAAACTGTAGATTTAGTTTTTATAATGTTTCTTCACTGTGATTCAGTGACTAGCTGAAGTTAGTAAAGCCTCCTTTCTCATCTTAATCTCCAAACCATACAATGGTGGAGTTAGATGGAACAGAACTGGATGAAGGGTCATGGAAGTTGTTCTATGCCTTTTCTGGGACAAAGAGGATTCCAATTCCAAGTTTTATTCATAATTTATAAGTAAAGTTAAAATGCATTATAAAATAAAGTTTTTACATCTTAATTTAGGCATTCAGTCACTTTACATTTGAACGATCTGGTCATCAGTTAATGGTCGTGGACATTCAGGGAGTCGGCGATCTCTACACTGATCCTCAGATTCACACCGCTTCGGGTCGAAATTATGGAGATGGAAATCTCGGAGTGAAGGGAATGGCTCTGTTTTTCCATTCTCATCTCTGTAATAAGATATGTGAAAGTCTAGGACTCACTCCATTTGATTTATCTCCCACCGAATTAGCTGAACATAACAGAATTGCACAGTTACAGGTATTTTTATAATTAATAAACTTGATTAGTTTAAAACTTTTATTACATAAATTTATTTTATTTTTCTATCGATACCAAGAATATACTAGGAATTACTTCTGCTCTTATAATCAAAGAAGATGAGGATGGAGAGGATTTACACATCATTGATCTTAAAAATAAAGGATTAAGATATATATTTATTGCTTATTACGCATGTAAATGCTTTACAAATTTATAATGTCTTACAGTTAGTTGAATAATTTAAATTTCCATTTTGAAAATTTCATCACAATTCCCCCCACGATGCAAATATCTCTGTAATAATTTAACGATAATACGTTTGAACTTTTGAAATTATTCAAAATAATTATATATTTATTAACTTGGAAATTATTTACAATGATTTAGTATTTAGGATTTTTGTTTACCACATTTGCTATCATTTTATATCATTTATTTTAAAGGCAAACTATAGTAAATCTACTGCAAAATAAGAGAAGCGTAACAAGAAAAGTCCAAAATAAAGAAATAAATAAAGAAAAAAGGGTGTTGAAAAACGTTCGGACTTCTTCTCATTTCCGGTTTTTCCTTTTCTTTCTCCTTTTTCTTTTTTTATTTTAAAGAGAATTCCCAGCAAAGAAAGCTTTCAGCCTTATTTTTTCTACTTTGGTACAGAACACGAGTTTCATTCTTCTTTTTTTTCCTGTAGATTTCGTGTCTTTCTGTTTCTATCACTTTGTGTCAGGGATATTTGCATACTGGCAAAAGGATGGAATTATGAGAATATTGTATAGAATCGAGTGGATTAAATTAAAGTTGAGTTGAATGCACTTTTTGCACAAGTAACTCGAAGAATAAAAGAAATTGCAGACTATAGGCACCGCATCTAAGATTTAGTTGGATTTATATCGTTTCTTGAATTTAAACAAGATTTCAAATAAAAATTTTCCTACTAAAACTTATTTTCTAGTAAAAAGTTCAAAAATCGAAACAAAAATCTTCATTTATTCTTGATTTTCTTTCGTATTTTGATGGAGGATAAAGTAAAAATCGTAAAAGAAATTGAACTAATGAAAAATATCCCGATCCATCTTTAATATATTCGATTTTATTTCAACCGTTTCCAACTTATATTTGATTTATTCCAACTTCTTTTTCCTTTTTTTTAAAAGTCTTTAAAGCCTGATTGAAGATCAAAAGAATTCTACTGTTATTAAAGACTTATAAATATTTTTAGTTATGTTTTCTTCGTTAAAAGAGATAAAAAGAATAATTTTGAGATAAACCAGAATAATTTATCATCGTTTAATTAAGTTAAAATTTCTTTATGTCGTTACAAATTTAAATTATTTGTTTAACGTTGATTCTGGACTTTTCCAGAATTATTTATTTGTTTTCGTCCTTAATAATTGCTGCCATTACTTAAAGACTTCAGATTGGTATTAAGGGGATGGAGCCATATCTCCCGAACCATTTATCCGATTTTCCTGAAAATTTCTACAAACCTTTGCGCCTAATACACAAACCTCTCTGATAAATTTCATAAATTTTCGACAAAACGTATAGAAGTTATTAAATTTCAAAGTGGGTAAATACAAAAAATCGTACTTCCTACACACACTTAACATTCATACATACAGAAAAATATCCCAAATTTTTTACATTTTTCGACTTTTCGAGGTATCCTGAGTTCAAAAATGAAAAATATTGGGATGTCATTTTTGACCCAATACTTATCCTCTATTATGTAACAGCCAGGAAAGTAAAAATTACACGTATTTTACTAAAATTTTGATACAAAAGCCATTTTTTAAAATGTTTATATTAGTATATTTCAATATAANTAAATGCTACAAAAGTAAATTGGTGAGTTGTTATAATATTGTTCATTAAATTTGAAAGTTTGTTTATTAAAATTTTAAATTCCATTAAAAAAATCAGAAGTTGTGTTAATTTTCTTATAACAAAATAATGTCGGAGGTTGTAAAAGTTTCACCAGAATTTTGGAGAAAGTGCACTTCAAGTGATTTTTTTTCATATGTTGTAATCCGAGTTTCCAGAAATAGATGTAGATGAGAGAATATTGTCAGATGTTAAGTTTGCTATTCACCTTGGTTTGCAACCCGTAGTCCCTATGCGTAAGAGATTAGTGGGTTATTGACGCAACTGTTCAAGCATGACCTGATGTTATATAATTTTCTCTTGAGATTTGGGAGGGAGGCTGTGGCCATCTGGCCAACGCTGCATGCGATCGAGCAAGGCACCTCCAGCGGAGCAATAACCTTGTAGATCAGCACCCTTTAGTAACGCGCGTGACCCAATTTTGGGGGCTATGTCTCAGTGCCATCTAGATCATATTTCAACTGCACCTGTTGTTGAAATTCTGGATGTGTCGCAATTGGAGCTCGGAAGGTAAACTACTACCATATTTTATTATTTCAAATTTGTTGTTAAAGGATGTTATGGAGAATTTTATCTATTAAAAAACTTTAATGGTAACCATGTCTGTATATGTAGTATTATCATCTTTTTCATTATGACAAAAAATAATAAGATTTAATCCTTCAATAAGTATGTTTTTTTTTTTTTTTTTTTTTCAGAAATCTTGTACAACTGTAATACGTGGAAAAGAAGAATTGTGTTTGTCTCCTTCTGAATACGAACGTTCTCATTTGATTGAGATGTTTCGAACTAGAACTTACTCGTCGAATAGTATAACTCCACCTTCGTCGGAATCAAAAAATTTTAATCGTAATTTAAGTAACGATAGTGGAAATCCTAATTCTCCCTTTGATATGGAAAGTTTAGAAAATGGAAAGTTTCCAATTGTTTTAAATGAAGATGATTCAGGAATTGGATCTCATAGGAAAGAGAGTTTGTGTCATGAAAATGGATCTACATCAGATGTAAATTTAATGTTCAAGATAAAATATTTTTGAAAAGTATAATCTCTTTATTAACAAAAGTTATTTCCGTGCAGTACATAGATGTAGATTTTAAAGAATTGGTTATGCGTAAATCTCGACCTTCATGTGTTCATCATGAAATGCAATTACGAAGAGATTTGTCTACCAATGGAAAAAGATGTTTTGAATATTCTGTTTTAGGACAAGTAAAATTTTGAATAATCTTATTTTGATGTAGAAAATTAAAATATTTTTATTTTTATGATATATTTATTTTTTCTTTTGTAGATTCACTTAGAACTTAGTAAATATCATGCTCTTGGACGTTTTATTCCAGAAGATGAAGAGGTGTATGATCACGAAGCTGCACTATATCACTTAGAACATGCTGCTAATTGTGGAAATATAGAGGCTCTTGTGACAATGGCTCATATTTACTTGCAGCTTCCTCATAATCTTCTTACTGAAATATCGGTTCCGGTAGGTTAAAATTACATATTTATTTTACATCATCAGCTGAAATATATTTATTTTCAACTGCTTTTAAAAATAGTTGTGTAAATTACAATCTAAACTTGATAAAATTAATGGTTTCAGTGTGTAGTAGATATTTGGTGGAAAATTTGAACAAATCAATATTTGCTTTTTATATTTGAAAACTCATGAATACTGTCAATTAGTCATATAATAATATATGCAGCGCCACATATATTTAAATCTGAAAACATGTCCCAATTTCTGAAATGTGAAACCAAAAGATCTATTTAAAGGGAAAATATTACAATTGTGTTACAGTTCTGCATTTAAAAACAATGCCAAAATATTTTTTATAGAATAATAAGGAAGACTTTGAAAAAGGTATGAATTGGATGAAAGAAGCAGCTTGTGCCGGAGATCGTTCTGCCATGATATATTTAGCACGTGCATTTGATATGGGAACTTTTAATGGGATGGAGTGGTAATAATATACTTAAATTTATATAGTATTTATATTCAATGTTGTTTTACAATTATATTTTTATTTTAAAAAGGAAATTATCCTGGAANTTTTAATCATATTTTTAATTTATTTAATTTAAAATATATGCTTTCCACCTCAAATTAGTAGTGGCTTGTCTCTGCACATCATACTTTTTCTTTGCAACTTCAAAACTTGCAGACCTATGAATTTCCACCGGCGTCTGTCTGTCTGTCTGTCTGTCCTTCCTTAATTTCGCGATCAGAGTTAGATAGATAAAATTCGAGAGGATATATTGAAAGATAAATGGCAGTAGGTCCCGATTAACTGTATACGAACTTCCGGTCTGGACTGAGAGTCACGTACTTTTAATTCAAAATTTTCTCCAGAACGGAGTTATATGACCGGCATGACTATTGTTAACAGGAAAAGTATGATGTAAAGGGGCAAGAGATTACTAAAATTGAGAGCATTGTGACTATGTCATAACAAATAACAGCCAGTTTTTTATTATATTTCACTGCATAAATTTATATTAATGAATGAATAATTTCGATCGATTAATAGAAAAAAATAAATAAAACGTTTGTAATTTTCGAATAAAACTAATCTTTTGTGTTTTTCTAAATATATTATATTGATTTTTATTTTAATAAACTTGGGCATTTTCTTTTGTAAAGTCCTTTTCCATTATTTTATTTTATTTTTATTATTTTTCTTTTAAATTTATAACTTGATAAAATCTTGTTGAATATGTATTGAAAATTTCGAATTTTTCAATTTATTTTTATTTTTTTAAAAACTATTTTTAAATTGAATAATCATCGAAATCTTTCTGATAAAATATTTACGAGTTTTAATAAAATATAATTGAATAAATAAATTATATTAAGTAATTATTTAGTAACTGTAAATCCNTAATATATAATAAATACGAACAATTATTTATTGTGACATCATCGTCACAATTCCAGGCTGCAATTTTTAATCATATTTTTAATTTATTTAATTTAAAATATATGCTTTCCACCTCAAATTAGTAGTGGCTTGTCTCTGCACATCATACTTTTTCTTTGCAACTTCAAAACTTGCAGACCTATGAATTTCCACCGGCGTCTGTCTGTCTGTCTGTCTGTCCTTCCTTAATTTCGCGATCAGAGTTAGATAGATAAAATTCGAGAGGATATATTGAAAGATAAATGGCAGTAGGTCCCGATTAACTGTATACGAACTTCCGGTCTGGACTGAGAGTCACGTACTTTTAATTCAAAATTTTCTCCAGAACGGAGTTATATGACCGGCATGACTATTGTTAACAGGAAAAGTATGATGTAAAGGGGCAAGAGATTACTAAAATTGAGAGCATTGTGACTATGTCATAACAAATAACAGCCAGTTTTTTATTATATTTCACTGCATAAATTTATATTAATGAATGAATAATTTCGATCGATTAATAGAAAAAAATAAATAAAACGTTTGTAATTTTCGAATAAAACTAATCTTTTGTGTTTTTCTAAATATATTATATTGATTTTTATTTTAATAAACTTGGGCATTTTCTTTTGTAAAGTCCTTTTCCATTATTTTATTTTATTTTTATTATTTTTCTTTTAAATTTATAACTTGATAAAATCTTGTTGAATATGTATTGAAAATTTCGAATTTTTCAATTTATTTTTATTTTTTTAAAAACTATTTTTAAATTGAATAATCATCGAAATCTTTCTGATAAAATATTTACGAGTTTTAATAAAATATAATTGAATAAATAAATTATATTAAGTAATTATTTAGTAAGTGTAAATCCTTTTTTTTTCTCTTAATTAAAATACATAAAATAATTTCAAGAAAACTTAATACATGTAATGAAACAAGCCATTTATAACTAGAAAATAATTAAATATTTTTCTTTTATCCTTAAATAAACAAATAATAAGTAAAATTAAAGGTTTAATTAATGTATTTTTAGCATTTAAACTCTTCAAAAATGATTTTTCAATCAGATTTTAAGGCTTATTAACCTTAATTTAGCTCGCTTTCAAACGTAAACAGGCTTATAGAAAGTCTCTACCCCCCATAAAATTAATTTATAAAAAATATTCAGAATATATTCGAGTTAATATAATATAAATTCAACAAAATATTGCTTTGTAGTTAAATTTTATAGGAGTAAAATTATGGTGAAAACTCAGAAAATTCTTAATAATGAATGAATTATAGGAGACTCCTTGCACGGATGTGTGATGTAAAGGCTTTTTCTCACTAAGAATTTATGATGTGATGTTATTAAGTATTGAAGAAATCATTCTAGATATTGAAATCATTGAAAAATATATTAAAATGGCCACCGTATAAGAGAAACCAGTTAAGTAAATTAATTAAAAAACAACTCATTTTTCATATATCAAATACTTTACTTCATTTACTTGGAGACGTGAATCAACTTTTTATAATTAGTTATTTCCAGAATTAGAAAAAAATCGATTAACTTAATGATTTTTCTTAGATGAATAAACAGATTTTTTTTCTTTTATTTTTTCAATATATATATATATATATATATACTAGCGAAAATTTCCGACTGCAATGCTTTCGGATAACCGACTTTCGGATAAACGACGCTCTACTGTATATGTTTAAACTATCTTTGAGAATAGAATGAGGCCTCTCTTAACGTGAGGCCCTAAGCTGTAGCATGTTTAGGCTTTAGGGGTGGTTGGTGGCGAGGCCTTCAAACTATTTTTTCTAGGGTGTCAAAGAATATTCATGGCAAATTTGATGCGGATACTTTCAATGGTACAGAACTTTTTACTCGTGCGCCTAAGAA